TCCATTGGTATCAGTGGGCTTCCAGTTAGGTCTGCATTACTACTTATAAGCTCAGTAGTTGAGCTGACTAAATACACCAGGCAGTTGTTTATTTAATCTTACAAAACCCAAAACCTGTCACTTAAATTTTGCTTGTGAATGAACCCTTCTTGTTGCCTTTCCTTTCCATAGAAGAACTTTCGCTCTTTATAAAACCTTGTATTACGTTCTTACTCCTTGTGTGCAGCTGGTTTCTACAGGTAACAGAAGGCAGAAAACGAGAGTTGTCTGTGCTCTGACAAAGTAACAGCATTGCCTTTTTATTTGTATTCCCGCTGCATCCTTCCAAATGTATGCATTTTGTTTGGCCAGTTACACAGAAGGGGGAAAGGAACTGGTTAAGAACAAGCACGGGTGGGGGGGGGGGAAACTGATAATGAGAAGAGGATATTAAAAGGGAAGTTATTTCTGGATTAGTAGTAAGTTTAATTTGATTCCTCCATCTGATGGGTCTTTTTACTCCTCAGAAGTGAACATCCACTGGCTCAACTGTATTGCCACTCAATCATGGAGCATCATCACTTTGATCAATGCCTTATGATCCTGAATAGTCCAGTGAGTGCCACATTTTCATGTATGCTGAAGGGAACTATTCCCTATTTTACATTTTATTTTTAGCTTTTGGATAGATTCCCACCCTTATACATTCCTAAGTGATCTTTATTCCTTTTTGGGTAAAGAAAGCAAATGCAGCAGTTTTGAAATCACAGTCCTATTGCTGAGAGCCACCAGACCTTTCCAAGTGTTGCCTGATAAGGGAAGCCTTGCTAATATCCTTTTGAGTACCTGCTTCCTTGGACCAAAGGAAACAAAAGGCGTTATTGCCATATTCATGACCTCTTATGAACCACCAAACAAACCCAAGTCCTTGCTCTCATTTCAAAAAACATTCCGGCCTACACATACACAAAGCAGTCCTGATGAGACCAAACCAAACACTGCTAATGTTGACATTCCAAAGTGAAGCCAAACCTAAGTTAAGTAAATATGCAAATAAAACTACATTCTTCTTGTTTTATATTATTAACTAATTCTAAGGCCTGTTATTCAGCAGGCACAATCATTTCAAAGCGGTGTATTTTTCACTGCTCATTTTGTATCACAGGTATGGTACTTGGGCATCCTTTGTATTGTAATGATTCTTTCCTATTCAGACAGGAAAATACGGAAAAAAAGTGGAGGCAAGTTGCCATTTCACCAGCTCATAGTGCTTTGGTTTAACAGTGGGCTGCTGAGCTTATATTTCTATGTAATAGCTTGTTATTTATGTTGCTTCATAAAAGGAAAATATTTTCATTTATGTGAGGTGTATAGGCAGGTACTGGAATCTGTTGTAGTCCCTCTGCTTCAGGGAGAAGGGGGAAGAGGAAAGGGAAATGCTATGATACAGCTAGTGGCAAATGGACTTAAAGGCTTTGATGTTGCTCTGCTTGCAGTTTCATTTTGTAATAGTTGATTATCATGCTGTTGCTGTGCGGCTTTCTGCCATTACTCAAGACGACTGGAATTTTTATTTTTAAATTGGGGAAGCTGCAAAAGGAGGCAGGGTAAAACAATGACGTGATCGATGAATGATTTAGTATCTAAGAGACATTTCAGCAAACTGGTATGCTCTTGCCCATTTTACTGATAACCCTGGTTTTGCTTTTTTTGTAAAGGGAAATCAGATTCTCAGCAGCCTTTCCATTGAAGAATACAAGGCCACACTGAAAATGGTAAAACAAGCCATTCTTGCCACAGACCTAGCACTCTACATAAAGTAAGTCAGAGGCAAATTTGGCTGGATAGTCATTGCTGGATGTTTGGATTGTGTCATCATGCTGCAAAATCTTTTTTTTTCAACTTCTTTTAAAGGAGGAGAGGGGAATTTTTTGAACTTCTAAGGAAGAAGCAATTTAATTGGGAAGATCCTACACAGAAGGAGCTATTTTTGTAAGTAAAAGCAGAATGATTAAGAAGTCAGTTATTATTATTTGGTACCTAATTTTCCATGCCATGTTGCTGTGAATTTTATTAAAACCAGCAGATCTCTGTGCTTTGCGCCTGTACAAACTGGCACTGGCACACAGGTCGCTGAATGACTCCCCGGATCTGAATTACTAAGTCTGCAGCCTGTATAATAAACTTTGTTAAGTGGCACGTGGAGTAACATGAGCATTTTTGTTCTTCCTAGTGAGTGTGGGGTTCCTCTCTAGGTACCATGTTCTTTTGTTGTTGTGACTTTATACTTAAATACTGAATTGCTGAAACCAATAATTAAAGATTCAGGACAGGCAGTTTGTTTTGAAGCTGATACTGGCAGTGAAGAAAAAAAAAGATTAAGAATAAAGACTCATATTGTAATGCACAGCTACAGAAAAGCAGGCTTACATAGGCTGTCTCAGAAAGGAAGGATGCCATATTTCAAATTCAGTGCCTTTAAAAACCAGTCTAATGTAGTTATGTTCTATGTCTATTCCTATTTCAGTCCTTGGCCCTCATACTGTCAATAAAGATGGCAGTCTGCTGCTAATGTCAGAAATAAATAAATGTGCTGTCTGTCCAGTAGCAAATAGAATGAAACAGTTCATTTGACGTGAATCCACCAAATGAGCCAGTCCAGATCTGCTCATTTCTGTGTGCTCATTTCACACAGGTAAAAGTCTACCACATCATTGAGCCTTGGATACCTTTATAACTTTGCTTTAATTTCACTTGTTTTTCTGACTTTGATGTTCCTTGAAATTTTATATTCTATTTTACTAATCACTTGACTTGGTGGTTACATACATTTCATGATACAGTAATTCATAGATTTCTTTCTGTTTTTTCTACAGAGCAATGCTGATGACTGCTTGTGATTTATCAGCCATAACCAAACCATGGCCAGTTCAGCAACGGGTATATGCTTAATTTTGAGATTTGCTAAATACAAACTCTGTGTAACAGCTTCTGCTTCCTCCATCTGGTCCTTATTGCAAAGGCAGTGGTGGAATGCAGAGCCTTAGGAAGCAGTCCTTCAAAGTGCTGTGTGTGGATTGAAGACTTTCTCAGGTCTTTGTAGCAAGATCTGTGCATTTAGCTATGTCACCATGTTAGCAGTAATCTGAAGGTAAATCGGGAATCTTTGTTCTTTCCAACATTCCTGTGTTACTACAAGGCAGTCAATTGATACCACACAGTAGTACCAGGTGACCTTTTTCTGTGTGTTGATCATTCCAACTGTTATCAGTAGTAAGATGCCTATGTGCCATTTTATTCATTTTCCTTTGTCAGAGTAAATATCAGCACACGCAGGTGGGTTTTTTGCGCACATATGTGTGCATGAAGAATTCTAAAAGCTAGCTGTTAAGCTGGAGAGTCTGATTATGGGGGGTCCCAATTCGATATATCCTAAGGAGAGACAGGAAACACAGGAAACAGTTTTGATTGTAGGTAGCAAGCAAACTTTTAGAGCTCTCAATGTGTGAAATCTCTTACAGATTGCTGAGCTTGTAGCTACTGAGTTCTTTGATCAAGGAGATAAAGAGCGGAAGGAACTCAACATAGAACCAACAGTAAGTGGCAGAATCATGTAGAATCACCTTTTTCAAAATGGCTTCTACAAACAGCACTTCACATTCCTTTCAAAAGCCACCATTTCTCCCACTGACGAGACTATAGGACCAACT